CTGTGTTATATATGTTTTTAAAAAAAATTATGGAGCAACCCTCGTATCCCTGTTTATTTTATTAGCGATTTTCATTATGACGATATTCAAAAACTGAATAAACCATTTATTTATAACATTTTCATGCAAACAGTTATTTTTTTGTGCGAAAAGTGATTTTTCGACAATTTTCTGATTACATTTATTGTAAAGACCAATATTTTTTTTATCGAATCTGTCATATTGAATATGGAACCAATTTACAGGATAAAAAACCAACATCAACGCCATATTTATGATCAATTTTTCCCGTAGTTAGACTTGAGGGCATGCTCTGCTGTGAACACAATTATCTCGATGCACATTTGGTATAGCAAGTGTGTGAATGTTGTTATTTATGTCGTGTTGGCTTATTTTTTTTATTAATAATATTTGTGCAAACAAAATAATAATCGTAAAGAAATTACATACAAGTGGAAGGAAAAAGTGCGATAGAAAAAAAATGGTAAATTAAAATGCTGAGCGTAAGTGAACGGGAACAAAAAGTTTTTTTTTTTGTTCAAACACAGGGCACAGACAACGGCACGAAATTATTTTTTTTTTTTTTTGTGTAGAAGAACAATCACAGAGTTTACATATTGATGAAGACAAGAAAAGTCTGTGCAATGAAAAAGCGGCTTGGATCAAGTGAACAATAAAAAGAGTGAAGAATTGCTGATTCAATGAATTCCTGTTTCCATTACGCGAGAGAAGTGCAAACTCCTTATGAAGCGAAATGTACGTATGTGTGTGTGTGTGTGTGGTGGTTGTATATTTCTGCTGGGGCCAGATCTTGAGCTCGATCCAGTCGTTTCGATCTAAAAGCACAATAAAGAACGCAGGCCATGCAATAGAGCAAGAGCAATGCGGCGCGGCATTCATGTGTGTATCATGCCGCCATTATAATCATAGCACGGATTATACTTTGAGGCGTTTGCTTAAAACCATTGCACACATTTACTTGGCAAGTATATTAATTTTTCTGTGTGCCGTTTTTCCTGCCTCATATTTTTTTTCTTCTCCATTGTACGTTGCATTTTTTTTTCGAACGATTTTCGATACATATGATTAGGTCGACAGAATATGTTGGCTCCGATATTCAATTCAATTCCTATGTGAACAAGCGTCAGCCGTCTTGACTACGCATTGTGCAATTTCATAGGCTGAGATCTGCATTTCAAGGGAGAGAGAGAGAGAGAGAGAAAAGCGGGCGACATGTAGTCAATGTGCGCGCTCAATTCACTTCAAACGAAACGAGTAATGCTGTTTATTTAATTTCAAAGTACAGTGTACAAGAGTTCTTCTTAAACCAAACGCACCACGGTTCGCTCTCGATGCAAACCGAAGATGTAAGATTGAATATTCCGTTATGTCGTGCCCATGTGAAAGAAAGAAAAATGAAATTATGCAAGTATTTTTGTGGCGTTTTTTTTCTTTTTCATTGAATTGACTTTGGTGTTTGATATAGACAGACAGCTGAAGAACGAGTAATAATCCTTCTTAAAGGATATATCGCAGTCGTCAATGGATCGTTCTATTTTTTTAGTATGTTATCGTTGATCAGCATGCTCTTTCGGTTCCTTCCACACCAAAGTAAAGGAAACTATGTTCGTTCATCGCGTACGGACTCATTCAAGCAAAGAAAATTAAAATAGAAAATTATATGGTGCAGTCTCGTAATGGAGAATATTCAGGTGATAGTAAAACCATCCACATTCGGAGTCCATATTACGAAATGTTCTTGCATACAGTTTTTTTTCCTCATTTTTCATCTCTTTCTATCGCCAGGTTATTTTTTTCGAATTCGGATTTATAATATTCCTTCTGTATAAGTTTTTCTTTTTAGTTTGTTTTTTGTACATGTACAGCCCGGTAACTTATTACTCCGAGTTTTTTTTTCATACATTACATTCAAAATATTACAAGAAAAAATGCATATATCTATGTATGTTCACGCAAAGCATGATAATACATGTAGGAGAGTATCAGTGACGATGAAGACGACGGCAGCAAAAAAAAAAATAACTATAGCAACAAAAAGCCAAATCGCAGGAATCCACGATAATAACATAGAATAACTTCTACTTAACGATTAAATGAGCACAAAAGATCTGCAATTTGAAACGGATAAGGTTGATGATTCCAATCATAATGCTGCGAGATGATTGCTATTGAAAAACTGACGCAAACTACATATATATATATATATAAATAAGCGATACTCCACGCTCTCTTCATTTTATATATGTGCATATAGATTAAGAAATGCAATGGATAAAAAAGACACACACACACACTCACACATGTATTTGAACGGATCAAAATAGACCGTTTGGAATGTCGTAAAGGAATTTCATAGCAGCATATAAAAAAAATATTTTGGTAGTGGTGAAAGAGAGTAAAGTACTTCAAGTCCCGCCGTATCTTAATTTGTCATCCACTTTAAAACAGGTAGATTCATCGATTTGATAACGAGTCTCGGAATTTGTGTGATCAACGATTATGATATGATAGATAATTATAGTTATCACCTATTGAATTTGGCTTGACTGGTCGATGATCAAAAAAGCATGTGCTTTAGTCGAAAAGAAATTCATAAACAAAATTACCATGTATAAACTACAGCCACGACATTTTTAGTATAAATTGAACCTTTTTTTTAAATATATTGATTAATATGAAGCCATATTGCTTCAAATGTTGTGACAATTTTATTCAAGTTTTCATTACATGGCTGCTAGTAATTGTAGCTCTTATTGTACTATCTAATCACTAAAATTATCACTGATTTTATAAATGCATTCATTTAAGTCAATTAAATTTAAGCTTGATACACCAATGAAAAATAAACTAAGCTATAATTTATGCACCATATCCGTTAAATGTTAAATTTCATAATAATTAATGGTGATGGCCTCCTCATTTCTTTCTTTTTTCAACATTTTACAAACAGTTTTTGTCTTCGGTGAATATTATTCCTCGTTGTAGTTCTTGAATCAATGAAAGAGAAATTATTTTCCAAAACATTTCCTTTTCATTTATCCATTATTGAACATTTAACAGGTTTAAGCATTTAACCCGTATTAGTCTGGTTTCGTGTAGTCAACATTCTCTTCACATTTTTCACTTTTATTTATTCCTCGGAATATTTTTGTTAATATTTTCATTTCTTTTATTTTGTTAAACGCATAGAAAATACATTCTTGTAATTTCATTTAAAATAATTGTTTGTCTTTTTATTTTGGTTTTTCGAAAATATCGTTCACATCTGCATTTGATTTTCATTCATAAATATTCAATCGAACGATTCTATTATCTAAAATTCATGGAGTCCAATATAAAATCGATTGCAATAACCTCATTGCATTTTTTATATAAAATCATGCATCAAACCAAATCTAGTTAGCAAAGAAATCTCCTATAAACAAATATATTAAGCCGTCATACATAAGGCGAACAATGAACACAGCGAAAAATATAAGCCAATAAGAAAAATAATAATATTTGTTTGTAAATAAACACATAAACATTAAGATTTACTGGATAATATCAGTCATTCCCAACGACCAATCAAATAAAACTCTGGCCATACTTATTTCTTACGAAGCAAAATAAAGAATTGTGATTGGTAAATGGCGTTGGTATTGTATTTAATCATATTTATACGTATCACACTATACCGCATCACAGTCACAGCTACACACAAATACACACACACATTGCACACACAGGCACAGAGACTAAGTCACGCAATGGATATGGCTGAGCAAGGTAAACATACATATTACGAAACGCGGCAAAAAGTGGGAACATTCTATATGCAAGCGATTCAAATGATGTTTATATCATATTTATGTGAGATTTTCAAACTTCAAAAACTACACTCTTGACTTTGTGTTCGATTTTAATATTAATAAGGATAGAATAGTAAAACACAGAGAAATCAGTTTTCAAAGCCGTTATAGTTTATTAAATCTTAGCAATAATGCGAAACATATAAATTTTGTTCAGTTTGAAAATTTCGCTTGACGCATCAAAGATTATCGTTTTGAATTCATCGGGCGGAAATTTCATTCGTGTTGTGTTGCATCACGAGTTATTCGATAAAAATAACTGTCGACTGGATTTTGTGATTTTGGCAGCGGAACGAAGGTATCTTGGACCAATTTTTGAGCCAACATCGGCATACTTAGTTCATCGTTGGCCAAAGATAGGAGTTTTGAGAACAAACCTTCATCATTCTCTAGTGCAAGATCGAAACTGTCCCATGAAATGAATTTTATGTCATTCTCGTTCACATCTTCGGTAGCCAATAAATGATGCAACGACTTTGAATCGAATGGTTGAACACTGTTGTAGTGTTTAACATCACGCTTATCCATACCTTCCATCTATAATGACACAATAAATTCGCTTTTTTTTATTTTGTCATCACTTAAGTTAACAGAAAATATTTTATAATTAAATAAAATAATTAAGTTTTTGAGGACTATGAGACATAAACGAATAAGAAAACGTTAATAAAAAAATATTTATAAGACAAAAAAGTGTTTTTTACTCAATTAACGTTTTCTTATTGAATAATATTAGTTTATATGATTGCAATCATTGTTCCAAATAACTCACATTATTATCCGATCGTCCAATGCGTGGCACACTCTTTGATGTCTTCAAAAAGAAATTTTCAAAATCGCTGAGCTGATGTGATCGTCGTCCCAATCGTGGTACATTTTTGGTTACTTTCAAAAAGAATCCAGGCGTTTCGGAACTTATTGTGTTACTATTACTGCACAAACAATAATCAAAAACGGTCAACAGCAAACAAAGCGATAGATATTTCGATACAATTTTCGATGACATGATTCGTGAGATTTTTGTTTAATTTATCAAATTGAAAAGAGCTATGCAAATTGTTCACTTTCTTATCTTGTGTCCAAACATCGATTAGATGTAGTTTACACGGTGTGCGATAGTATTTATACTTGAAAATTGTCCCGCATAATTCTAAAATAATAGAATGTTCTTTTGTCATTCACCTTTACGATTATTTCTAGCTTATTTCTTTTGCTTCATTTCATTTGACACACAAAAAATGCCATCCAAGTCAGTTGGATTTCTAAATTTGGTTCAATTTCAAGCAAAAACAAAATAATGCTGGCCATTGACATTATACAAAAAGTGAATCGTTACTTACCCGTTTTATTCGATGTCTTTTTCATCGTTATACACAAAAATATCGATTGAACCCTCAGACTAACATTATCTTCCCAATTAATGCTTTTGACTTGTTTTAATTTTTATTTTAAACATTAACTGTGACCCCGATAAATACAGTTTATACGGTTAATTTTTGTTGCAATTCTACTTTAGCAGAAATTAGCATTGGTTATCGTTCTGATGGGAAGACATAAGCACGATCAATTGGTTGAAGCTACTGACTTGTTGGTGAGGAATCGACCGGTGGCAGTGTATATGAGGATTATTATGACATTTTAAAATCATCAATTCCAGACCAATTTGCAATCGTATTGGCAACAAAGGACGGTTTTTGCATCGGTTTCGATCGATATTTACAAGTATTGCTTGGCGAGAAAAGACACAAGAAAAGACACAATATCATTTCCACGATGATTTTTTTTTATTTTTCATTTTTTTTGCTATAAAATGGAATTTTAGTTAAGTATAACGAAGAATTGATTCTTAAATAAAAAAATGTTTGTTCTTTAAATATTGCGCTACTGGTGCCATAACCTCAAATTTTAAAAAATTATGAGAACTAGTATTTTGCGCGCTATTTCTACGTCGCAGTTGGCATTGTAAGTGTCAAAACTATTTAAAAACAGTTTGTATTTTATTTTGACGTCAAACGTTTGGTTTATATTGGAGCTAATTGAAATTTTCAAATTTCACATTCTAAATTTAACTATAAATTATAGAAAATAAGTTTAAAAAAGTTTAAAACACAATAAGAATGGAAAAACGAAAGTCAGTTATCCATTGGTTTCGAAAAGGTTTGCGAATACATGATAATCCAGCATTGATTGCAGCAATCGATGCTGTACAAAAGAACAAAGACTACGTACTACGACCAATCTACATCCTTGATCCAGAATGGACACAGTTCTGGCGAATGAGCGCAAACAAATGGCGATTTTTACACCAATCACTCGTACAACTTGATGAAAATCTAAAAACGTTAAACACACGGTAACCGTCATTCTTTTCGTTCCATTTCATTTCTTCTAATTTCAAAGCATTTCTTCAAGATTGTACGTGATCCGGGGAACGCCAAAAGAAGAATTTCCTCGTCTATTCAAAGAGTGGAATGTAACGCTCATGACATTCGAAGCAGAAATCGAACCGTTCAATCAACGTCGTGATGCATTGGTAAAAGTGAATGCCGATAAGTGTAACGTAAAACTTGAAGAATTTCATTCGCATACCATTTATAATCCGTACTATGTGTTGCAAAGTAACAATAATGAGGTTATAATGCGGTACCAATCATTTGTGTCACTTGTCGAGAGAATAAATGTTCAGCCGGCACTCGAAATCACCGACAAACACAAAATGAAGCTAGAACATCGGCCACCGAAAGACACCAAAGAGAAGGCGAATGCATCATGTTACGATTTACCCGAATTGAATGAGCTGCCGATGGATGAATCAACATTGGGTCCAAATAAATTTCCCGGTGGTGAAAATGAAGCACTCGATCGAATGGAAAAAATGTTAAGCCGAAAGGAATGGATCTGTGATTTTGAGAAGCCAAAAACATCACCAAATTCTATAGAACCAAGTACAACGGTCCTCAGTCCGTATTTTTCATTCGGCTGTTTAAGTTCACGACTATTTTATCATAAATTGAAAGCAATATTGAGTAAAAAAGAGAAACACACCCAACCACCGGTATCGTTAATGGGCCAGTTGATGTGGCGAGAATTTTATTATGCGGCCGCTGCTGCCGGTCCAAATTTCGATAAGATGGTTGGCAATAAAATTTGTCGCCAAATACCATGGAAATTTGATCAAGAATTGCTGGACGCCTGGGCACACGGTAAAACTGGATATCCATTCATCGATGCAATAATGCGGCAGCTCAGAACTGAAGGATGGATCCATCATTTGGCCCGACATGCTGTCGCTTGCTTCTTGACACGGTTAATTACTTGTGACGCATTTATTCATTTCGTATTAAAACTCACTTTCAATTCCAAATTTCAGAGGCGATTTATGGATATCATGGGAGCAAGGGCAACACGTTTTTGAAGAATTATTACTTGATGCTGATTGGGCACTTAATGCCGGTAATTGGATGTGGTTGTCAGCTTCAGCATTTTTCTATCAATATTTTCGTGTTTATTCGCCGGTTGCGTTTGGAAAGAAAACCGATCCCTTTGGAAATTACATTCGAAAATATTGTCCAGAATTGAAAGAATATCCGAGTCAATTTATTTACGAACCATGGAAAGCAACAGTAGGTGAACAACGTCGGTTCCATTGTGAAATTGGAAAAGATTATCCGAAACGCATTGTTATTCATGAAGTGGCTCAAGATCTCAACAAAGGTCGTATGAAACGAGCATATGATGTTCATAATGGAAGACGTGATGAAGGCGAACCATCTGAAAAAGTATTTGTTAAAGAAGAAACTCATAAGCCACTCAAGATTGAAATCAAACAGGAGGACTCTGATTAAAAATGTAATTTTCTGGCAAAAAATGTAATTTTCGTGTAAAGTTTTCATTTTACGATTTAATAAATTGTCATGAAATTTAATTTATGTATACGTAAAGTGTATGACCATAAAAACTGTTTATAGGCCTAGGCATGGCAATGGTAAGAAAAGTAATCAAAATAAAAACCAACACTTTTATCTGAGAAAAAAAGATTATTAAACATATAAAAAATACAGAATAGCTTGGCCGACAACCAATGGACGATACAGGATCTGAAAATGACACATCAGCATTAAATTTGTTGCGATAAATAAAGATATTAAATGCTCTTTTTTTTCAAAATTGGATGCATCGACCGGTGCTGAGGTCTTTAATATTTTAAATTGGTCGAACATAACCGGCCGTCGTTTTTATTTTAATTCTCTATACATTTTCAAATATTCCAATAAAAAAATCGCAATAAAATCACATTCAATAAATAATCTAAAAAATAGGTTAAGAAATTCTCGCTTGAGTTTCATCATTGTTAATTGTTTGAATGGCGGCCACATCCATGATCGTAAAATTGGGATTACAAACCAAAATAGTGGTTGGCATGACCTCATGCATATTCGATGATTGAATTTCATTAGTAGTTGAGTTGGATGTCATTTGTGGATTGACCACATAAAAGACATTTGTTTTTGAATTATTTTCTGCTGCTAAGTAATTGTGATCATCTTCATTGGTCGCTGTTTGTTTTTCAAAAACAGTTTCAGTCGATTCCGCTGGTGTTGTATCCTGCATTTGAATAAACGAATTATTTGTTAATTTTATTTTCTTCAACTAAATTACATGGTTCCAATTTACATATTCAACGGGTCCAGGCATCACATAAATTATTTTTTGATTTTTCGTTTGTTGTTTTTTCTTTGTTGGTGATTTTCTTGCCTTTTTCTTCGATGAACGGTTGACGGTTTGATTGTTTGGTCGTTTTAAAGTCTTTCCTTCGTATGAATCGAACGAATCTGCGTCCATTTGATTGCAAATTATCGGTGGACGCACGTTTGAATCTGATTTAGAATGCTTTAACCGATGATGACTATTTAATTCCCATTGCGTTCGATATTCCTTTTTACAATGTTCGACGGTACATGGAAACCTAACGGATGCAATGATTTGAGTAATGTCTAGTGTCATTTGGATAAGATTTTTCAGTTACATACCCTTTAATTCCGATGTGTTGTTTTATGTGATTTTTCAATACGTATGCACGTTTGAATGTTGCCGCACAATACGGACAACCATATGGTCGGTTGTTGGAATGCGATCTATTAATCAACAAAGAAATCATCAATAATTATTAAATTAAATGAAATAAAAATGAAAGCAAAAAAAAAAGTGTCTTACTTTCGATGTTCGTTGAGCATTGATGCTGTTCGAAATTTTCTCTCGCATATCGCGCATTCATACGGTGTTTCGGCTGTATGTAATCGTTTGTGGTCGATATAGTCTTTTTTCAGATAAAATTCCTTGCCGCATTTTTCACATGCATAATTTTTCACTTTCAAGTGGATCATTTCAATGTGTGAACGGGCGCTGTTACGTGATGCCAATTGTTTTTCACAAATATTACACACGATTGCTCCATCTAATTCTTTGAAAAATTGATCAGCTTCCGGCACCTTCTTTTTCGGTTTCGGTGCCACTGATTTAGCTGTTAACGGCGGTTCTGTGTTACATGAATGCACTCTTTTTTGATGAGATTTCAAACTGGGCTTGGTTGTACATTCAAAATCGCATTCGTCACATTTCATTGTTGACATGGGATGCACGGTTTTCTTGTGATAGCTGAAATTCCAACTTTGATAGAAAGTTTCTTCACAATCGTTGCATTTATAAATCGATGGATTTATCAAATGTACAGTTTTTCGATGATTCGTTAGATCGCTCCAGTGTCGATATGGTTTCCAACATTCTTCCACGTCGCACATGTATTGCCGTTGCACTGGAAACTTTACCTGTTGACTAAGGTGTGTGTTTTTATGGGTTTTCAATTTGCTATATGTCTCATAACAAGCCATACAATATCCACATTTAAATGGTTTTTCATCATTTAAATGGCTTTCTTTATGTTTTGCCAATTTTTCATTGTCAATAAAAGCGAATTCACAATATTCACAGCAAACAACATATAAGACATTCTTTTTTATGATTCTCACAGTATCCTCGTCATGTGATCGATTACAATGCTCATCAATGTCTTCAATACCGCCGAAGACCATCGAACATGGTTCGCAAATAAGCACACTATTCTCTTGCAATCGTTCATGTGATGTCATATGCTTTCTCAATCGTGATGATCGACTGTACACCTTCCTACAAACAGGACATTCAAGTGATTTTTCGGTTTGTGCTCGTATGCACGTATGCTCATCCAGCATATTTTTATCGACAAATGTCTTATCACATGCGCTGCATTGCACCGTTCGCTTTGTGTGATGGGATCGAATGTGCAATTCCAGTCGAAAATTCGAGGAAAAACTTTTATCACATTCCACACAAAAATATTCATAGACACGTTCGTGCGAGAACATCACATGATTATAAAATGATTCTTCTTTTTCAAATTTGAGCTCGCAAATTATACAGATTTTTGGACGCGCTTTTTTTAAATGAAATTGCGTGTGGAATAGATATCTAGAATTTTGAAAAAAAAAAATCGGTTAAACAAATTTAAAAAGATTTTTGTGAAAAGAAAAAAAATTGTAATCTTTACCGTTTTTTTGAATTTAATTTTTTATCACAGGTGGCACATTGAAAATCCGTACTTTCATCTTCGATTGTTAGGCACATATGCTTTCCAAATTGTACCGATGACTTAAACGTGTTCTCGCACGTTTGGCAAGTGAGACAAAGTTGTGTTCTGGAAATATTTCAATTATTAATTTTGGTCCTTTGTTGCATTAAATTCCATTTAAAAAGTCTAAAAAAAAGTTAATTTAATTTTAAAACAACGTACGGTATTAAATCGACATGCTCGTGAAAAATATGCTCTTGGACTTTAACCAAATCATCAAATGGTGGGCAATTTTCGTCAAATATACATAAAACGCCATCGGCCAGTGTATGACTTTCATTTATGTGATATATCAAATGCTGTTGACTCATTATCTCCTCGGAGCAAAGCTTTTGTTAAATAAAAGAAACAGCATCGATGATTGAATAGATGTTGACATTTAAATAATTTAAATAAAGGCACAGCAATGAAACGACAACAACAATAACACATATTTTTACTGTCAAAATGTTGATGTCAAATGGTGTCGACATTGGTGACGGTATTTTGAAACAGACTGTGTAATCCATATTCATCGTATATGATCCTATGTAAAGTTCTATACTTGATCTAGTTCACATTGACGGTTCAAATCGTTTATGTCCACTAGCGTGGACATGGACTGTGTGTTTCTTCTGTTACATGTACGTTGTAATGGACAAGTACAGGGGGAGGAAAAATTTTTAAGCCTGATATAGAAACACACATTGTATTTTTAAATGACTATATTTATTATTCAAAGTAGTCTCCATGAACACGAATGACACTTTCATATCGATGCTTCAATGCTTCAATTCCTCCTTCAAACCACTCGGCATCTTTGTCCTCCCATACGTTGAAAATATCGTTCGATATCTCTTCTTCGGACTCATATTGCTTCCCCTTTAGATATCTTTTGGTGTTTGGGAACAGGAAATAGTCGCTGGGGGCCAGATCTGGAGAATACGGTGGATGGTGGAGTTGTTCGAACCCACATTCCCTGATGGCAGCTTGTGCAAGCAATGATTTGTGAGGCGGTGCATTGTCATGCAAAAGAAGAACTTTTCGAGTGAGCAAACCAGGACGCTTTTCTCTGATCGCTTTACGCAATCTATGCATTTGTTGTGCATAATAATAGCCCGTGACTGTGGTATTCTTTGGAAGGAATTCAACCAATAATATGCCTTTGGCATCCCAGAATACAGAGGCCATTACTTTGTTTGTGGCAATTTGTTTGCGTGGCACTTTCGATGCTGGTTCACCACGTTTGTGCCATTCCATCGTCTGTGATTTGAGCTCTGGATCATAGTAGTGGATCCAGGTTTCGTCGCCAGTCACTATTCCCTCAAATGTGTCCGTTTCATTCCATTCCAACAACTCGAGAAACTCGTGTGCAGCAGCAATTCGTTCTTCTTTTTGGGATTTGTTCAACGTTCTTGGAATCCATCGCGAGCAAACCTTTCTCATGTGCAATTTTTCATGAAGTATGTTGTAAATACTCTTCTCTGAGATGTCAAACATTGCTGCTAACACTTTCTTGCTCATTCGAGGATTTTCGTGCACGTGATGTTCAATTTTTTGCACTACATCTGAAGCTGTTGCTTCAATTGGTCGACCTGTATGAGGATCATCTTCCAATGATTCTCTACCCCACTTGAATTGTTTTGCCCATAGTTTTACTGTGGCATACGATGGGGCAAGGACCCCATAAACAGCACGCAAGCGATCATTGATATCCTTTGGTGTCACACCTTCTTTTGTGAGAAACTTAATCACCGCACGATATTCGATTTTATCCATTTTTTCAAAAATATCGAGGTTACTTGGTATGCAATGCTGTTGAAAACAAACGACGACAGATATCAACTCAATTTTTTTCTGCAATACTATTGACAGTTCGTACGTCAATTACAGCACAAGAACAATTTGTAACTAGTGCCGTCTATATGTCAGGCTTAAAAATTTTTCCTCCCCCTGTATAGTAACATGGCGTCGTTCAAATAAATTTAAAAATCCGTCCACTCGTGTCGACACCATCTAGCACGGTAGTAGGGATTTCATTGCTGTGAATAAAGGCGTACCATGCAATTGATGAAATTTTCATATGACTCTTCGTATGTGATTGAAGCAATGGATTTTAAATATTCACTAATGTCGGCCGGTTGAGCATCGTTTATGAGATCAATGTCATTGGTACTGTCGTTCTCGCGGCTCTTTTTCGAATATGAACTTTCACATTGATAATTATCCTCCAAAATATTGATTAAATCGTCAGATGTGGCAATTTTTTCGACATCCAAATTCTCACCACCTTTTTTACCACATCGCATTTTTGTTTTAAGATCATGTCGTGGTATTCCAAGTGAAATTTTCTGCTTGATTCTTACTAAATCATCGGCATTATCTGTGGACGCACATTGAAAGAAATTTAAGTCACGAATCAGGAACACTGACAATTTGAATTGATCTTACCAATTTCCAACATAAAAATGGGTTTCACAAGAACCGATGTAAAATCAAACGGAATTGTTTTCTTCTCATTATCCCATTCATTTGCAAAATCATTTTCTTCCAAATATTCAACCTTCATTTCATAGTCGCCATCACATTGAGATTCATCCAGATATTCACTGTCCTCATAATTCAATGTATTCGCCAGATTTTCGTCTTTGACTTCTTCTTCTTCTCCTTCTTCATCTTCTTCTTGTTCTTCGTCACTGGACATCTCATTCGCTCGAAGGCATTTTTGCTTAAAATCATTGTATTGTAACAACTGTTGCCAACACAAATCACATATAGCATATGTATTTCCATCCTGTTCATGTAACGATTTACCGATGTAATCGTGTAAAAGTGTTGCAATATTATGTGTTTTTCCTTCATCGCCAAAAACCAAGCGATAATCAGTAGTCAACGTTTTGTTACAACATTGACATCGATTTTTTTTAGTTGTTTTCATTGTAATTTGTTCGATCGTCCGCAGCAGCTGGTCAACAAATCATAACAGTCATTTGAATGAATTCGAATCGGTTTTTTACTTGCCATACACACAAATACTTACAATGTGAACAAAAATACAGGCTATCCTCTATGTTGTGATGTACATGTGGCCTAAATTTAAACTGAATGTGATCGGTATTTACATCGAACTCGCTTTTTAACTCGCTTTTTACTTTTTATTTAAAAAAAAAACATTCCAATGTTTTTGGCAAAAAAGTTCTTTTTTCAAATACAATCGATTTGTAATTTATCTATTTACACAATAAAGAGAATCTGAAGAAATGGAAGATATTTTCTATCATTTCAAGATGTTTGTTGACACTGACAAATGGTATTTTGACAGTTCCATTACATACCTAATATATGAATCCCTATCGGAAAAATAACAACAATACATTTTTTAAATAATCAAATACACATTTATTTTAAAAAAAATCCACATTGTTTTTTTAAATATATATACGGATAAAATTGTACATAAACGTTTATTATCCATTTTCTTTATGTCAATCGGAATGATTATATTTTACTATTTTGTTTCTTCATTTCATTTATAAATACAAAAAATATGTTTTGTTTTGTTTTAAATTCTCTTACATAAATAGGGGAATGTTATGAATTGTTTTCGCAGTTTTGCAAACAGTTTGGAAGTTTTGATTTTATGTAAAAGATTACTACCAAATTATTTCGTTTGGTGATAAAAATAGATGGAAATAAATCTTCAAGATAATCGGCTATTGTGTAATATAAATAGACATTTAGTCAAAGCGATGATAAGAAATACATTATTGCCATCAGCAATTGTTGTAAATTTGTTTAAAAAAAAAAAATCGAATGAATGATCTGTAGGCGCCTTGTTTTAATTGATAATTTTATGCATTTTCCGGATATTAATTTGTCAAATATTCTGCCACGATAATTTGGTTTTTGGTATAATTTTGCGTCAGATTCTCATAATTACTAGAAACGTTTACTTCTTCTTTTTGGCGCTCTTGGCTCGCAATTTTTCCTCACGTCTTCGTTGTCGATCCGTCAATGACTTGTACAATTTATAGCCGAAAAATGCTAAAAGAATAAGAAAATTAATTATTAACGACTTTTTCAACAATAACAGTATTTTTTTTTTTTTTTTTTTTTTTCAATTTAAATTTGAAATGTTTTATTTTTATTTTGTGGCTGAAATTCTTGTAATTTTTCTCACCAAAAATCGATATCATAAAAATTGACACAACGATAAACAGAACAAATTCATGATAGGTTGGTATAAGTTTTTCGGGTGTTCGCATATTTTTTAGTAGCTGTTCCAATTCAGCATGGTCGTCTGGTTCGAGTTGGCTTTCATATCGATCCAAAAATTGTGCGACATTTCGGCGAAAACTATTTGCATCCGAACTGGCGACATGGTTTTCGAGTAATTTTTTTAATTTTTCCAACTCATCACGAGGTGCCATTTGTATTGTTTCGAGTACAAAAACGATTTATCACTTTTTCGAGATCAACTGAAACCCATCACCGACGAAGAACATTTGACTGATATTTCGTAATTATTTTTTTCTTTTTTGAGCGATCTGAATTTCGCTCATTAAGAACGATGACGATCGTATCGATGGTATTTTCGAAATGTTCACAAAAAAGTGTGTTTTTTATTTGTTCAAGCAAATCGACAATTTTTTCTGCATTTTTATTTAAAGGTGTTCAACAACGTGCAACGTATTTATTTTCGCTTTAATGACATTTAAATGTGCAATATTGAAGCAAGGAATGGCCTGTTCGAAGTATACATGGAAGTCATTGTGTGCTCTTGATTTCAATTGTATATTTATTTGGAAATATGTGCTTAAAAATCGAGCGCAAAATTTTATTGGTTTATTCAAATGGGACATATGTAATTCAATTCTGCGAATTATTCAACTTTGTTGTGAACGTGAATAAATGTTTTTGTTGAAAATCGATTAGAAATGGAAAAATGGTTGTAAAATGAATTGATTTGGTTGCAAATTTCATCGCAAATTTGAAATATGCTCTGTTGGCAAGACGTCACTCATGATTTTCTATTGGAATTTTGCTCCATGAATTTCATTCCACGTGCGATTCATAACGATTGTGACACCAAATGAACAAATGTATTTAAATTTTAACGTGCCGCTGTTTCTTTTACATCTTCTTTTTGCTCTAATTTCATAATACAATTCTTTTTTCGTCAATTTTGTTGTGTTTCGTTCATTCTGTCTTGGTAAATATTTACCAGAAAATCAGCATGTTTCACAATTGATGCGCATTGAACACTTGCGAACATTGTAAACATACGTACAATATTGTGGATAAAAAAAAAGTAATTGTTGATTCATTGAACTTTACCCATAAATGTGAAACAATTTACGATCAGTTGCATGTGATTTATCAATGGGATTGAATTCAATATATTGAGAGTCAAACTTTCATATCGTTCACGTTGACTAACTCTTATTTACACATCGATATCAAATCACTGATTACCGTCATTATGTGGGTGCACGCAGCAAAATGGAAATTTTAATCAATATTTCATAGTAAAATTTACAGAAAAACATTTTTCATTGGAATATTGAGACAGCCGTGTGAAAATGATGTTGTAAAGAGAAAGGTGATCGAAAATTTATCGTCAAAGTAAAACTACTTACCGGCAAGACCAGCAACAACGATGGCTGGCAAAACGAATACAACATTTGGAAAACCATGTTGAAATGGATCATCTTTTCCGCTCAATTCGACCATGATTTCAGCCTTATGTTTAGCCTCTTTGTACGAACGAAAAAAATTAACCAATAAATTGAACCAGCAAGAAGAATTGACCAAACCGAAGAAGAAAAAAAATTATAAATCAAGTCTACGAAAGTTTTTACGCGCACAAGTTCACGGAACGAATGAACCAAATTCGCAGCACAAATAAAAATTGTTGTGCTTCCGTATGCGTCGACAAACCTATGAACACGTATGATGCGTACAACTACATTCAGGCACACAAACACACATACAAACAAAGAGTGATATCAAGTTGGCCGTTTTTTTTTCTTTTATTTTTTAAATCAACAACTAATTGTCAATTGGACGTGGCTACAACAGAACTTCCAACAAAACAAAACAAGAAACGATACGAAGAAAATCTGAGCAGAAGCAATACAGTATACACATCAACAAATGTAAAGTGTCGAGTTCTAATTTATCTCATCGTTGACACGGTGGAACTTTCATTGAACAAATCATCAATATGTGTGTTGTTGTTGTCTACATCATCAGCAGCCGAGATTCGTACACGTTTGCAGCTACGATTTGCCGTACGTCATATGTACGCATGCTATTCATCTCTTTCACGCTGTTCGCTTATCCATCAGGGAACGGTAGATATTTTCATTTCGGTTTGACACACAATCCAGATTGTTATTATGGTTTGCATTCAGCACAGAAAAAAAAACACCAAAGAAAACGAACCAAACAACCAATTGTAGATATGCATGATAAGCGCATACGAAGCCATAGTCAACAGCATATATATGCTTATGCTTACGTTCATTCTCTCAAAGTCATATGTTTTACTGTTTCGCATACAATTTGCCATTTGTTATTGTGATGGCGCTACATACAATCGAATACATTTCAGCAATTCAGTTCAAGTTCAACATAACCTCTTTGTTTGTTCTATCTGTTTTGTGTATCTGTCAAGTTTTCAAAATACGCGGGAAGAGCGCTGTTTACTTTATTAAAGTCATCGATCAACATTTTGTTTGTGGTGTCTTTTTTTACTGTCATTATTTTCATCTTTCGATAAATCAATGAGTAAAACACAAATGGATTTGGCGGTGAAATTTTTAAAACATCGCTTAAAATCCGATCGCACGACATTCATTGGAAATGAATCCGAATATCGACACATCAACGATTTAATAACACGCACATCGGAATGTGGCGAATCAAATTCGGCGCTAATCATTGGCACAGCAGGCAGTGGCAAATCAACGGTATGTCGATTTTGACACAATACTATTTCTATTTTGATTCAATTGTTTATTAATAAATTGTATATCATTCGGTAGATGATTATGTCGATTTTGTCAAAATTACTCACCAAAGATTCGTTCCGTGCAAACACGATGGTTGTCAATCTCAATGGATATATTCATATTGACGATGCGGCCGCACTAAAATCCATCACAAAACAAATGAAACTCGAAACAGCTGTCAATGGCAAAGTGTTCACAACGTTCGCCGATAATTTGGCATTTTTATTGGATTGTTTGAAATCCGGTGATCGTAGCTCGTCAAAAAGTGTCATTTTCATTTTGGAAGAATTTGATTTATTTTGTGCGCACGGTAATCAAACGTTGATTTACAATTTATTCGATGTGGCACAATCGGCACAGGCACCGATTTGTGTTATTGGACTAACTCGACGCCAAGATGTTATTGAATTGCTTGAGAAGCGTGTCAAATCACGATTTTCACATCGTCAAATTTTCCTATTCAATGAAATCTGTGATGTTGATGAGAAAATTGAAGCATTTTTGGACTTATTGAAATTGCCAGATTTTAAGGTAACTACTTTAATACTGCGCTTTTCGCAGAGCCGTTATTAGTACGGGAGAAGGGCCGGCGCAAATGTATAAAAAGAGTCGGTTACAAAAAAAGTGCCTGCACCTCTGCGGTGACTATGACAGCTCCGGCCATTTGACGCATTTCGAAATACTAAAATAAAAAATGTTTTTTTTTTTTTGTTATTCATATAGAAATTCGATAACACCGAATATAGAACTACCAAAAAATACTCAAAACAATCCGAAATTATGTTGCTGCGACACGATTTCGATGTAAATGATTATGCGAACCAATTCAAAAAGGATTTCATCACAAAATGGAACAAAGAAATTAACGGATTGCGTACGAAAAAAGAGGTGGCCACCGATCTGGAAGCATTATTTGATCACAATGCTACTTTGGCCGTTCAAAAGACACTATTATTTCGTATACTTTCATCGATTGACGATCTGAATGATGAGAAATGTACAACAACCACATCTAAAATGGTCACATTATTGCATCGCATCATTGTCGACGATTATTTGAACAACAATAGCAAAGTGCATATAATGCGAGATTTATCGATTTTGGAATTGTCACTAATGATCGCAATCAAACATCACAATGACATTTATGACGGTGATCCATTCAATTTTGAAATTATTTTAACACGTTTGCATAAATTCCAAAGTTCGGGCGATTTTATCACAGGGCCAACTGATCGTGCCGTCGTTCTCAAAGCATTTGATGTGCTCAGGGTAATTGAACAAGCAAATAATAATGTCGTAATGCAAATTTATAAGAAAAACATGTTCTTTTATTTACAGTACTTGGGTTTGATTGTACCGTTTGGAAATAGTTCAAAAGAATTGAAAGAATTCCAAATGCATCGAGTTCAAATATCCAATGCAAATATTGACAAGGCTGTCGCAAACTATAAACATCTCCCCACACGTATTATGCAATGGGCCAGCAGTTCACAGGCTTAAATTCATTTAATCATTCTTAAGTTATTCACATCAAACGTTTTAAGTTTTATTTTTTTCACATTTCAAAATGCATGTCATTTCATAATTTAAAATTGAAAATAAAGAGACCATTATCAATAGAATCTTTTATTCACATGTAAGCGTTAGAAATGAATAGAGACCAATTGAAGTTCACAACTTCAAGAAAATAAAAATTCGATCGTTTCTATATCGGTAGTTATAAAATATGCGCAAAAACATTTGCATTTGATTTCATTTGTTAGCAGTAATTAAGTACAGTACAATACGTAGATGAATGGCACTTAAACATTTACATTTTGTTTTGTTCTCTCTAAAATTTTGGTAAATATCATTTAGGCTACAAACGTTTTGCAAACAAAATCGAGCCAAACTCAAAGAAAAAACATAAAACGTTCAATTTTTTCAAATGTGTGTTAGAAATAAAAATGAGATTTCGTGACTTATATTTAGTGGGGTAACTGAAATTTACATTAAATAAATTATATTTTATCACCAAAATTATTTGTTGAAATTAAATTAATTTTCAAAAAATAAAAATAAAATAATACTTAAACTAAAATAAAATAAAGCAGCCAATAAAAGTAAGGAGAAATCAACCTTCAATGTGCTTAGGTCTTTCAGGTAAAAGTGGAATTCATTGTATAATATATTAATTAGTGTTTTGTTGTATATTTTCATAAATAAATATATTTAGGAGGAACACTGTAGCATTTTTGCTTGTCCATTGCATGAGATATTTATCTCACTAGGCGCTTGAATCCAGGGTTCGCCGTCCGCCTGAACTGGAAATGATTCGCGCATTTGAATGCGCACATTACGCGCTTGACCCAAACGAATTGGTTTATTGAGTCCAACTTGTAGCTGGGCCATATGAAATGACGACACAATGCCGAGCACTTCAATCACACCATCCGATATACTTGACTCAATTTTCGGTCCACTGTCATCGCCGCTCATTACTAAGAAAAACGAAAAATGAAAGTATTTTCAATCATTTTTTTTTTCACTAATTTTGTTTGTTTGCTTTTAAAGACATATCCTTCCTAAATAAATAAAAGAAAAGGTATTTTACCCCATAAATTAACTCCAGCTCCCCATGAATCAATGTTCAAGCAAACAACCGCCTGCAGTTCGGGCAATTCGATTTTTTCACCATCCAAATAGACATCAATTTTCTTCTCAAGGCCAACACAATCAGGTAAAACGACTTGATGCGTTCCAAAGCATAAATATAAAATCTGTTACAGAAATTTAAACATTATTTAAAAAGCGGCGCAAATTTGTGGATATATAAAATTCCACCAATAAAACTGACCTTGTTGAAAATTCGACTACTTATCATATAAAATGGGCTCTCTCGAGCTTTGTGGAAATTGAATGTGACTTGTGCATCAACGCCCACACTAAAGTAGTTGTACATGTTCAGTTTACGATGAGGTAACCAATTTATATGTAATCGTCGCGACGAATGACCTTCAATATCGATGAGCCAACGATCTAATTGAACTGTTTCGGCACTACGAATCTGTAACCATGCAAATCAGACAAAAGAATAAAATGATATGTCATGTTGTTTTTTTTTTTCAAACGAAATGCAATTTTTACAAACACATACTTTTTTACAAAGTTCAGCTGTATTTAGATTGGCTGGTGGAACACCGCCCCAGCCAAGAACCCTAGATAAATCGTTTCCGGTCCCGATCGGTAAGATGCATACTTCGGGAATTGGTTGAATATTTTTCCGTGAAATTTCATTTAGAATCCAACCGATTGTGCCATCACCGCCAGCCACCAATATGCGACACTGAACTGTTCGAATTTTGTTGATTAAATTTAGCGCTGCCGCCGGTCCTGTCGAACTCAATTCGAAAATTTGAATGGGATTCAATACACTTCGGAACACAGCAATCACATTATCGGCTGTGTTGTCGCCCGATTTATTATTGGCTGCAAGAATGAGAGATGCGAGAAATTGTACATTTTTTTTACAGGGAAACTCAACGCAAGAAGAAGCAAAAAATGAAGACATACCAAGAACAATGAGTGGCCGCCAATCGGGCCAATCGGGCTGCACAACGTTTGTAATTTGCCGATGTAGACGACGTTGTTTTACGAATACATGGTTCGGTGGAATGATCATGTCTTTAAAGGTACCAAAATCACAGACTTTGTCATCGACTGTTTTAACAAAGCAATTGACATGGGTGCTACGCTGACACCAACAACATCGATAACCATACAATCCTGGTCGTCCATGATAATCAACGTCACGATCACAAATATAGCATGTATATGATTGGCTTAAATTTCCTTTGATCCATAGATGCTGTTGTTCACACACAACTGGTTCGGATTTATCGATTTTCTGCAAATCCGTTGAGGTCACTTTACATTTTAACACTTTGTCAGCCGTCGTAATACACAATGTATCGGAACAAACACCGCAAGCTTCACAGTAAAAACCACTGGACGTTAACATTATCTCGCATATCGAACAATAGCATGCCTGCAAGAAAAACAAAATGTGTTTTCATTTCTTGAGAGTGAAAAAAAAGAAGAAATGAACAAAAAATAATATTAAAAAAGTGAATAAACTTTACTTGATTCAAATGTTTTACATGGCGCCAGATATGCACTCGTTTTTTTGGTACGTGCACAATATCAAAAAGCATTAAAAGTTTTCCGATTATCCATAGAGCAAACACAATTGCACATATGATGCATATTTCGAATAACATGATTTATTTTGTCAACTCCGTGAAAATTAATTGATTTTTATTCGTTCAACTGCGAGGCCAAATCACATACACACAACCAATCGATGCGAATAATTACCGATTCGGTGTTGTGGAACACGACAAGTGAAAGAAAAATGGACGAAAGGAAAATCAATTGTTTACAAAATGCACTGGCAGGCAATATTAAACCAAACAAAAATGAAACAGAAATGTTAAATAAAGTCTATAGAATCTGACTTAAATTTCATTGAGTTCTGTTCAAATGTCAAATGTCATCCAATGGAGGGAGCTGTTTGATATAGTATGATTTGAATTCACCCTATCGGAAATTCTGACAACTATTTTTCAAGGTCGCCATTTCTCACAATAGCATCAAAACGTTCTTGAACTTGTTTTTGTTTCAATGAGAATTTTGATACGAACGCTCCCAAAATCGTTTGAAAAAAATATGCCAAAAAATGATGCAACTATTTTATTTTTATTCAATTAAAAATATTTTCATTGTTCATATTCTGATTATAATTTTAAAAGAACGTCTCATTAATTTGTTGAAACGAAACTCTTTGTTACCTTCACAGTTATGCCGAACTTTTCAAACTTAAAACTATTAAACTATTTATTTATATCTTTTGTTGGCTTGCGGGCCGACTTTCTAACTATGTTGGTCAATCCTTTTGAAATCATTTCCTTCTCCCAAGCTGCTAATGATTTTCTGAAACGATTTATTGATTTACATTTAAAATGGGAAAAAATTTCACCTAACGGCGTCGATTCAACCACATCACATACTTGTATTCATCATATAAATCTTTTGCTTTCTGTGTGTAAGCACTCTTCTGTGATTCGCTCAATAGATTATAATTAGCTGATGTCTGTTTTATATTGGTTTTTCCCTTGCTGCGTTCATCCTCAAAGAAAAGAAGAAAGGCGTTAGGCGGCCGGTTTGGCTTTCCATTTTCTTTTGCGAGATTTAATATATTTTTCCGCTCCATACGTTCCTCTTTCAAATCTTTCAAATGGATTTGTGCATCTTTAATAGCCAATTTTTTATCGGGAGTTAAACATTTTTCATATGCTGCAAGTTTTCTGGAGTACGCGGCCTATAATTCAGAATAGATTTTTGAGTATGTCTAATTTGGATTTAAAAAAATTGCAAACATGAATGAAATGCCCTCACCATTTCCCTTTCAAATTCTTGGTTGTATCGTTGTTTTTGACTATCGTCAAACTTTTTCCATTCGATTGCCGCAAGACTTATGACTTCTTTTGCTGGTTTGCCGCTTTTTTTTTGTGATGGAAAAAATTCCTTCACAAATCGCAAATATCCTCTTATTGGTCTGACAAAAAATGAGTTTAGATAAGCAATTTGCTAGTAAGCATTTTAATATCAATAATATGCATACCTCTTTGGTCGCTCTGGAATATTGAGTTTACGCAAAATCTCATTCTTTTGAGACCCTTTCCATATAACATTTGTACAAGTTAAGAATCTGAAAAAAATGCATAAAAATAAGATTCTATTTTACAGAAAATATAACAATAACCTTTACCTTGGAAACAATGCTACACATGTTGTACGTTCAATTGAAAGAACTAAATTTCTATTTACCAATTTAGTAAGAGAATTCATGATGAAAATGTTCAATTAAAAATGTAAATTCTGTTTCTCAAACAAAACCTTTTGCAACGCAAAGAGTATTTTGACAGCTATTCAGAGCACGTTGGTGAGAAATGTCAACATGCTTAAGTATCGTTCACGCACGCACTGAATACACAATATTACATTTTAAGCGCCAAAACAAACTCAAGTCAATAGCAATAATTTATGAGATTTTCAGTGGAAATTAAAGGAACACAGAAAAATTCTAGTAATTTACCTTTTTGAATAAAATATCTTTTTTTGTAATCATTAAACAACTAAACTCATTTTCGTTAAATCTAATGCTATTTTTGGCATCAGGAGAAGTAGGGGCAGACTGATACACTTTTTTTCCATTGAGAATATTTTGGCCAAATGAAAAGATATTGGAAAACTTTGAATATCGTTTGAAAGAGGATTGAAAAGCCTAACTTTCTGCACCATCAGATTTTTTAAAAATGTTGATGTGGTTTGCGCCACGACAGTTATCCTAAGCATACTGATCATCCAATTGAAAATTCTGCTTTTTACGTGATTGTTTTCTTATTTTTTTTATTTTTGCGTGTGGTCTTTTCGAGTAAAATTTAAATCAAATTTTTTAATAAGCAGCATTAAATTTGATTTTTGATTGGTTTGGATTTCTTAGAAAAAACAGCAAATTTACAGTAAAGAAAAAATAATTTCAAAGTGTTTAGAGTCTGCGTTCAATATTTTATCATCATATGAACTGCGAATTTGGTAATTGATAACTGGTTATCTATTGGCTTAACTGTTAACTAAATAACTGATCGTGAACATTAAACTCATGGAACCACTCGAACATTCTTTTAATATCAAAATGTTGTGTAAATAAAATAAAAAAACACAAAATAAATGAAAAAAATTGTGATTTTTTTGCGAAAAAACAACTGATTTTCTATGTCTAGATTTGAATTTCTTTGTTTATTCGGTTGAGAGTATTTCATTGAGTTATGTTCAAATTTCATCCGATGGAGGGAGCTGCTTGATACCGAATACTGTGTGGTTTTTTTTCTATTGGCAGAACAATAACGCATTTAACAGCTGTAAACAAACGTACTACATTGATGATGATAAGTTCAACATTATTTCGGAATTCAATTATCTTTGCAAATCGATGCTGGTACACTTGAACTTTGAAACGTTAGAAAATTCGAGTGTAAAAAAAAATTGAGAATCGATGTGAAAAGATTAGTTCGTTCATTCTCCACAGTATATGGTAATGTATGTTTTAACTCTCTTTATTTCGTCGTTCTCTTTAGTTAGCTGTCAAACCGATTATATCAGTCATAAACATGAAATTGCGCTGAGAGAGAGAGAGAACACAAATAAAGTAAAAACAGTAAAAGTAAACAGCATACATACATATAAAAAGAGACAGTGCAAGTGAAAAGCGAGAAAAAAAACAACAAAACCAGACAATTGCAGATTTTCTGTTGACAGACAATCGTATGTAATATGGATTAGTTTAATTTCTGTGCGTATAAATATTCAATTGATATGAATGTTGTAAAATAATTACTTAAATAAAGTGTTAAAAAAGCAGAAGTGGTGCTTGTTGCATCGCATCAAAATCATCCTCTTGTCTTGCATATACATGATAGAAAGAGAGGCGAGAAATCACACTGCTGCTTGTGACATATTTATGATTCGGAAAATTCGCAAAAAGTGAAACAAGCAACAAGAGAGAGAGAGAAAGAGACAAAAAGTGAAATAGAAAAAAAAGCAACAGCAACGATAACAAATAACAAAGTAAACACTTAATATTGGCCAAAGGGCTAAATCTAGCGAAAGTAAAACGGATTGCAACATGACATTTTCGCCAAATAAAAATCTCTCACGATTTCACTCGTGCTGTCATGGGGTGAACATTGAACTGTTAGAAGGTAACACAGTTGCACATCGCAAAACGAGCTACGCAAATGGGCTCACATTTTCAGAGAAACCATTACAACTAGGTGAAATTTTTTTGCTGGAAATAAAAAAAAATGAACGTGGCTGGTCGGGATATATGCGCTTAGGTAATTGTTTGTATACATATGCCTAAATAATTGACATGCTCTTACCATTTGAATATTTGATTGAATGCAAAAGGTTTGACACAATTGAATCCAAACATTGATGTGTTTGGTATTGATGGTTTACCACAATATGCATGCCCCGATCTATCAAACAGAGGCACATCTTGGGTATTTCCAATTACAAAATCCAGCCCATGCGGTTCAGCACAACGATATTCACGACGACTACGGAACAATCGGTTTCCAAATGGCTCGAATGTCGATACAAATTGTACCGATCACACAAAACGATTTTATCAGGACGACGACAATGACGATGACGATGACGAAGATGATTTAAGCTCTGATTATGAACAACAAGTCAAATCAACAGGTTTGAAACCAAATTTTCTTTTAAATTAATTTCAATTAATTATTAACACGTATATTTCATTTTTGATTTTAGTTAATATATTAGGAAATGAGGATGCATATGTTCGAACGTCTCGCGGCGTTATACCAAGACGAACGCTCCGACCAAATGCACCATACAGCTCAGATATGTTGCCGAGTGATACAGGGTAAGTCTTTTAACTGAATCAAATTATATTGCGACGCAAAATTTTTCATTGGAACTTTTTATTTTTGCATTCTAAAAATAAAAATAGTTCACGCATTGGAATGATTTATGTACAAAATCCGTCCGATGCAAATAAGGCTGAGATGCATTTCATTGTGAATGGCGAGGATCAAGGCCCATGCACAAAAGATATACCGTACAAAGATTCGGAATTATATGCTGTGATCGATGTCTATGGAACGACAAAACAAGTTAAAATCATTCAACTCTATGAAAGTAAGTTGCCTCCTTTAACCACCATCCCCACCATTCCATCAAATCGATCAATTCAATCAATTAAGATTTCGTTTTTTCTTTCGTCATATTTTAGTTGCTTCACTACAAAGTCTATGCTGTAATATGATTCTATCGCTGGTTGATCGTAATTCAGTGCAGAATCTTCCGTTGCCGGTTAAATTAAAAAACTATCTATTAAATTACTAAGCAATGCAAATTGTTGCATCTGTGTGACGGGGAAAACGGTTGTGAAGAATAATTGTTACACACAAAGGAGCTTAAGCCAAAAGGCTGGGGAATACCAAAACTGGAAATAAAAATAGGAAAAAGCAATAAATAAGTGGAGAGAAAGTGTTATGCAGAACTGGAGAAAAAGATAATTGAAGATGTGTGAAAAGTCACATTTAAAGCTCACACCAAGAGAGCCGTCGAGTTAATAAGTCTTTTTTATATAGTGTTTTCTTGTTCCCGCACAAGCAAATAACAATCGTAGATTGGACCTTACAATGTGCACACATTAGCACATCTCATTTACCCAGTTTCAGCTTAATCAATCGAATACTTTTAAATTCGTTAATTTTTCAAAAACAATAACATCGAATCCCGCTTTTTATAGAAAACATTTTTTTTTTACATGGTATATTCGCCTCCACACACTATTTCCAATCATTCCAGCCAATTTACATTCCAATCAAAAATGTATTTTTGAGTTAAATGATCAATTGATTTCACACACAGAGAGACACGAACACAATTTTACACCAATGAAAATTATTATTATTTTTTGCATTCTATTGACAAATGATAGTATTTTTATTGTTCATCATATGATACTTATGAAATAAAATGTATGCATCAAATCAATGAAACGACACATTGTTTTAACTACTTTTATTTATTAATTTAATTTAAAAAAAAACAGAAGGATCATTTCTCAGCTGTATCATGTACAGAATTTTTTTAAATTTCAAAAATGAATTGCATTTCTCAATCAAAAAGAAAAATTGAATAAATCAAGGGAACAAGGAACTAAATGACGCACTATTCTATCATATTTTATTACTAAAATAGGTAAATTTAGTAGCATGTGTGTTTTTTGTTTCATTTGTACGTATAATTTAAATAGAAATTCTGCGATTGTCATACCGTGACATTCTCTTCGTCAATTCGACATATCATATTCTTGAACTGAAATATGATTTTTCATCGTGGATTTTAATCGCTACTGCTGATATTATTGTAATTGTATCGTATTTTATTTCCTGATCGATAAGATATGTGCTTGAACAAATGTTTTTTTTTTCTTCTCCAATCGATATGTTACACACATTTGACGTCACATTACACGCGCGCACTGCACGATATGCAAACAAATGAAATCCAATGAGTTTAATATGGTGTTGTTTTCTGCAGATTGAATAATTTGCACATGTCATGGTTTTGAAGCCGTATCATTTGGATCAAAAGATCACATGAAGTAGCATGACAATGAATTCGCCACTTTGTCACATTTTCGAATACATAATACAATACATGTGTGTATTACACTGTCAATTATCGTGTTTGACCTTAGCACACCCATTGAAATATATATATGAACTACATATTGACCGTAAACAAAAACAAACACCGACCATAAATATCTTTCAAATAGAACACGATTAGTTCAATCGATTTTGGATTTTCAACCAAAACGAAAAAAAAAAAAAAATAGGAAAGAAGGTACTTCAGAGCAAATTGAATCGGTAAAATAAAATCGTTATCAAATTGATAAGATCTATGTCATCAGAGTAATTCGGCCTAATGAAGATGAGCCGAAAATTCTACAAGTTTCGATTGTAATGCAATCACTCATGGCATACATGTAGCGATCTTTTTTTTGCTGTTTCTTTTGACATTTTGATTTGCATGTTGTTCAATTGTTTATTCGATATAATAGGATAAAAAAATATCTCGGCAGTTTCGTTTGGTGTGCACCGTTATTACTATGAATAAAAACCATTTGCATGCATGCTTAAATGCACATGTGTGTAATCCATTATATTTACATGTGAAATTGTGAAAATAAATACCACGAGAGCGAAAGAGAAAACACGGCAAATTAACATGGATAGAAAAAGCAACACGTGAACAACATGATATTTGTTCGACTGACCCATAAAGGTACATTTTCGTTTTCGTCCAAACAATTCGAAAAAAGAAGAAGCGAATCTACAGAATAACAATGAATAAAAGTAACGTCGTTTTCCTGTTGTAATGAACATATGAACAGAATTGCAGAAACAAAATGCTCAGAGCGACAGTTGACATTACATCAACGGCATCAGTTGCATTCGAAATAAATGAAATTAATACATGAAATTAGTTGATTGCGATGACAACCTCTTATTAATTTACAGACAATTCTCAAGTTTCAGATTGCTGATTGACATTAATTCCGATGATTTCCAGCGATTTTCGATTGAAATTCGTTTGCATTTTGATGTATTTGATCGTTAAATGGTTTAATATATTTTTAATGTAAATGTGAATCATCCAGAAATAGTTAATTCCAACTATTATTGAATTATTAATAGTGACTTCATCGCAATCATTATCAAACGAACGTTCGATAGCAATAAAAATCAATTTGAATTTTATTGTCGAATGACTTGTATATAGATATCGGCGATTTGATATTTGATTTATTACAATTCAACTCCTCCCGTGGAATTTTCTATTTTTATTTGTCTGATTTATTGCTTCGTTTGTCACTTTTTATTTGAATTGCAAATAAACAAGACCGACGCAACTTAACGCAGCGCATTGGTTAAAAAATATATGCTAAAATCACACAACACTCGTTCTTAAAGGAAAAGTTTCACATAATTATGTGATTCTATTTCATATAATTTTATGTCGTTTTTTTTCAGTATTGGTGTTTGGTATATATATGTCGCAATTTGGAAAGAAGAAAAACGAACGAGAGCAAAACAAACATCAAGATCAAAACAAAAGCGAAAAACCAACTCACTGTCAACATATGTAATATATATGATGTGGTTACCAGTTGCGTGCTATCGCGGTCGGTTTGCCATTCAGCATTCTTTTTTTTTTTTTCAAACAAAATATGAGATCTCTCACTGGATTATAAATTTATCCATATGAAGTTAGAGCATGGGCAGCGTTACGTGTGCGTTTGCGTTTAGAATTTCGTCATTGAGAATGAGATGGCAAAATCAAGACATTGTTCACACATCCATTGAATATGACAAAAAGTGGGAATGTTTTTCTCATTTGTAGCATGATAAGCGAGAGTATGTTTCATCGTGATTTTAAATTTTTTTGTTTGGCAGTAGTATTTTATAAAAGAGAGTATATGCAAATTTATACTTTTTTTTGCAAATTTTTTATTAAAATGTTCTCAAACACGGAATACATGCTCTCCATAATCGTTAAGAAACATGCATTCGTCTTGTAAAGTGTATGTAGAATTGACATACTCTCCTACCGACATGACAGACACATAAGCTATAGCAAAATTAATTATACTTTGATCGTTGCAATCATCTTCATGCATGAAATCTCATCTCATTCAAAAAAAAACTATTTTCACACACACACACAATGTCAAATTGTTGTGGATTCTCCCCTGCGATTCAACAAAAGACGAACAAAAAAATTTGGAAGCAAACCAGAAGCATGCAATAATTAATTATAAAAAAAATATGATGCCATTATTACTATATTTAATAAAATAATTTGTAGGATAATTCATTTGGTTTAATTCAGTTTCCATTTTCCAACAAAAACTGAAAGATATACAATGAAGAACACACTGGTGCTATAGCATCTACAACATCTCAACAACAACAGCAAATTGGTAGAATGAGAGCGGTGAGAGCTCGCGTAGTTCGAATCTAATTTACCAATATAACAATCGTATCAAAAAATACAGTTAAATAATTTCCCTTTGGTATTTTGTGAGCAAAACAGTCAAGCATCATTCGTATGCTTGTGGCTTGTACGCGCGCGCGTGTACATCACACAGAATATATTGCGGCGAACGTTGTGTGCTGTTGCTGCTGCTCTGCCAACGCCACTGCTGTTGTTGATGTGTGGCAATTCGAATGCTTTTTCCTGTGATTTTTGTACATTGTTGTTGTTGTTATTGTTATTTCTACTATTCATGGTGAACTGCTTACTATAAGAGAATCCGCGAAGACGAAGGCATACACTTTCGACATTCAGGTGTTGATTCGCGTTTCGGACGGTTCACATTGTTTCGAACAATAAGTAAATTTTCGTTAATTTCTGTTCTCAATTCGGTTGTTTTTGTTTTGTGTTTCCCTAATAAGAAGCCCTTGTTCGATTCGTTCCTGCAATAATTTAGAAAATAAAATGCAAATCACATTGACTTGAATTACAATTTGATTGAACGAAACAAAAAAAAGAAGAAATTTAATAATTTTTTTTTCTCTGTTTACCATTGTGATTTCTTTTGAGTGTGGATGTCTTATTTGTATGTGAATGCATTTTTATCTTTTTTCGAAACGGGCGAGTATATGATATTTGCCAGTCGGTATCGTATCAGTTTCATTCATAATTTGCTTGCTGTCGGCGATTGACATAATTTGATTTGAATTGACTGTATTCAAAGGCGCTCGCTCGTGTCGGTGATTGTTGATTTATTTTGCATATTTTCTGTCCGTTCAGTGCGATTTTAATTATTGTGGTGAATTAAAAACAAAAAAAAAGAACAAGAAAATGATCAAATTAACTGACCTATTTTCGTTTGCCTGGTCGTATACAAATTCACGCGTTGTCGATTACTATCGTCACTATTTTTCGGAAGTGTGTACTGTAACGACGAAATCGGGCCCAGTGAAAGGTTATAAAATCGCGTCTGCCTTTGATTATCGTTACATTAATTTCGTTGGAATACCGTACGCAAAGGCACCTGTTGGTGAACTTCGCTTCAAGGTTCGTTCAACGCGCTAATCTTTATCTTTTTTTTGTAATGATGTTTTGATATGTGTGTACATTATCATTGTGTGTATTTCAAATGCGACTGTAATTATTAACCGTAAATTATAGGATCCCCAACCGTTGGAACCGTCAACCGAAATTATAAATCAACAATTTGGTCGCAGCGGTTCATTGGCATGTCAAGCGGATTTGGTATCACAGCGATCAATTGGAAATGAAAATTGTCTACATTTATCGGTGTACACCAAAGACATTAAACCTGACACATTAAAACCGGTAATGGTTTGGATTCATGGTGGCGCATTCATTTTGGGTTCAAACTCAAAAGATTTTTATAATCCGGAATTTTTGCTACGCAAAGATGTGGTTGTTATCGCAATCAATTATCGCTTGGGTGCATTTGGTAAGACACATTTCTCACATTTGAATTTTTTTAATAATCGCCTTTTAATAAACAAAAAAATGCGTTTTATTTTGCGTTCCATATAACTCAATATCAGCAAATTAAATGCACTAATTACAGTTTGTTGACATTGTGATTTGTTGTATTTGTTTTGATATTACAAACGGCACTTTTGCTTCCATTAAAGCGCGCGAAAATTATAAGAGCATATCGAAAATGATTACAATTAGATAGAATACCGATTCATTGCTTCGTATCTTTGTTGGCGTGTGTGTGTAGTTTTTTTGTTTTCGCGCGCAAATATGCACTACGCAAAAAAGTACTCAAGTGTGTAAACAAACGTTTTTTTTTATAGCAACATTGTGCCACTTTTGTAAAATTTTGATTTGTTTTTTTTTTCTAATGTGTTTGTCTTATTAGGATTTGCATCGTTCAAAGACCCCGAATTGGGCATTCCCGGAAATGCTGGACTTAAAGATCAAGTGATGGCCATGAAATGGATAAAAGAGAATTGCACGCATTTTGGCGGAGATCCGGAAAATATCAGTAAGTATCCAACGTAATAGTTATTTGCAGTAATTGAAGAAGATAAGAATAATGAGATAGTGAAATTGTGTGAATTATTATATAGACTCACGACTTGCTGAATTGACATGTTTATAACTTGGTAAAAGTGAAGTACAAGTTGAAATTAATCACTTCAAAATATTTTCTAAAATTTTATGATGATTTTTACTACAAATAGCTTATAAAAATTATTCAAAACCATTAATTATGGTCGCGTGAAAAGAATCTTTTATGTTGTTGAGTAAGGCACTGACATACAAAATTGAATGTGAATTATTGTGTTTTGCAGCATTGTTTGGTGAAAGTGCTGGCTCAGCATCTGTATCAATGCATATGTTATCGGATATGTCGAAAGGGCTATTTCATAAAGCGATTATGATGTCAGGCACAGTTTATGCACCATGGGCACTGTCTCCAGTAAAAGATTGGACGCAGCGCGTTGCAAAAAAACTTGGTTGGACTGGTGAAGGTGGCGAAAAAGCCTGTTTGAATGTCCTTCAACGAGCTTCACACGATGCAATTATTAAAGTACAAGAATCTACATTGACCTTAGAAGACCGTAAACGTTACACGATGTTCCCATTTGGGCCAGTTGTTGAACCATATGAATCGTCTCAGTGTTTCTTAAAAAAAGACCCAAAAGAATTAACCGCATCAGCATGGAGTAAAGATATCCCACTAATCGTTGGAACCTGTTCAGATGAAGGACTCTTATTTTACAAAAGTATATTGATCAATTTTGATTTAGTCATTTTTAATCAACAAAATTCATTCATTCAATAACAAATAATCGTATGACGAGCAAAAAACGTAATTAAAATCATTTTCATTTAACACGCGTTGATGATGGTGTCTCCGTTGTAAAACAAAATTTTCATTAAATTAGTTTTTAATTACGATTTTTGTGGTCAATAAGGTTATTTGTAATTAAAAGCAATACATCATTATTTGAAATGAAAAAACAAATATTCAACTTAATTCCTTTGCAGTGACAATGAAAAAGCCGAGCCTAATGTCAAAATTAAAACTGGAATATACATTACCATTCCACGAACTAGACATTGATGTCGATAGTGATCAAACCCGTGAACTGGGCAAACAACTGAAAAAATTCTACTTTGGATATTCAGCATTAAGTGTTGAAACCATTTTTGTATATTTAATGGTAATTTTGAAATGAATTCGATGGTTTCTTCTTCATAAACTAAATCACATTACATTCCATTGATACAGATACTACACGACAAATTCTTTGGACATCCAACCCATCGAACAGTTTTACAACGAACAAAAAATCAAAGTGCGCCAACCTATTTGTTGCGTTTTAATTTCGATTCAACGTACAGTTTAACGAAAAAGATATTTGCTGGTCGAAATGTTCCAGGTATGTAAATGAAATAAATTCGAATTTTGAATGATATGATTTGCGAAATGTTTATTTGCTTCAAACTAACAGGTGTTTGTCATGCCGATGATTGTTCGTACTACTTTCGTTCGGTGTTTTCTGGCATGGATCCAGCGCAAAATTCAGATGAATGGAAAACAATGGAACGAATGACCGAAACATTTACCACATTCGCAAGAACGGGTGATCCAAATAATGAAAGCATTGCGCCAATCCAATGGAAACCAGTGTCACTGGAAACCGGCGATAAAAATGTAAAAAAATACATGTGCTTAAATATTGCCAAAGAAGTTAGCTACATTGACTGGCCAGAATTGGATCGTATGCAGTATTGGGATCATATCTATAAAAAATACAATAAGAATCTCGTTTAAAACACGACACTTACTTTAGGTCGGTTGTATTTTTTATGTATTAAGTTTATGTGTTCTCTGGTAAAAAGCTTGCCCAAGGTTTATTAGATATTATCACAAAACGGTTTATATATATATATGCTTTGCAACAAGAAATTTGAAAGAAAATGGAACAAAATAAAGAAAAATTACTCCCAATTTTTGTATAGCCTTAAGAATTTATTATCAAATAGCTCTATCTATCATTGGCGAATGAAACATGTTGTTTTTTTATAAATTTGTATTTTTATAGCTTTAAGAGATAAAAATCTTCACTTCCTTCCTTTATTTTGGTATTAAACATTTTCTTGTTATAAAAATAGAAAGCAATGCGTGTTTTTTGTGTTATTTAATTATTGTGTGAAAATGAATTATTTTATAGAAACTTCACTTATTTTTTGGTCGCCATTCATACGCCATTTTTCACGTTCTTTTTATGTCTTATCAAATAACCTCTTGGTACATTATTCACATTGAATTGAGTGTGTATAGAAAATGAGAAAGATCGATTTTTAGAATCACGTGAATGGTGATCGTTGTATTTGCAACAATGGACTCATCAAGGTCCTTGTCAATTTAAATATTCTTTTATTTGTAATTTAAGCCTCTAGTGCGACTGGTTCGCTTTTGACTTTTTTCGCTTTGGATGGTTTGTCTTCGGTGGTCTCTTCGGCACTTGGCAATGCATCGGCTGGAACTTCTGGTAAATCGATTGTTTTGTCCTCTGTTAAATCCGTCACTTTTTCGTCCGCACCGATCAGTTTATTCAATTCAGCAAGTACTTCTTCTTCATCCTCTTCGGTCAGTGCTGAGTCAGCGTATTGATTGATAGCCGCATCAATTTCACGTTGTTTATCAACACCTTCTCTCGTTTCGTCCAAAATTCGTTCAACTTCATCAATGGTCAGAATTTCGTGTACTTTCTTCAATGCCTCATTTCCGACCTTTAATCCATCCAAAACTTTCTGTTCAATTTGTGAGAATTCGAGATCGGATGTCAGTTTTTCCAAATTTTCCAATTGTCCATCCGTTGTTTCCAGCAACTTTTCTTGATACTTTTTCTTACGCAAAAGCGCCCGAGCACGACTAAAATTTCACACGAAAATACGAAAAAAACGCAATTTAATTCGATATGACTCATACCATCAAATAATTTATGACTTACTCTTTGCGTCCAGTTGCCAAGCATTTCTTTGCCAATTCACGATCTTTTTCTAGTGTCAATTCAATTCGCTTCTGATACTGCTTTAATTTATCTCGCTGTTGTTTCAATTGCTGCAAATAAAATTTCGTCGAAAATAGACGAAGAAATTTTCAATTAAAATTTTTCATTATTTTTGCGAAGAAATTCAATGAAAACATAAAATAAACCATACCAAAACAGCTTTGTCGTGTTCAGTAACTCGGCTGGGTGCCGTTTTCTTTGTTTTGCCAAATAAATTTCCCATATTTGTTCTGCTTTTTTTCCGCACAAAACAATGACTATTTACACAAAACGTAGATTTGTGACTAAATATGTTATCCAAAAAAAAATTGAATAAATTCACAAAAATAATAAATCTATCGGATCTTATCTACCTAAAATGTAATTGGTTTTTAAGCTAAACAACGTACAACGTTATTTGATTCGTCTACTGATTACGCACACAGAAATTTCGATAGAAAAATGAAAATTATATTGTGATTGAATTAGTGACAAATAAAAACAAATAGTGTATTTATTTGTGTGCCTATGTTTTAAAGTTGATGATAACTACGGCGACATAAGAAATGTCATGCAGGCTGTCAAAATTATCTCATTAGTTTGGTATGGTATGAATGTGTGCGTGTGGCGCCATTGTATGTATTTGTACACTTTTGACAGTTCAGAAAATGGTTTGAAATTGAATGTGTATGCGAATAGTAAAAAGAATTCTCGCACCAAGTAAGAGTAATTTTTCCCTCCGGCAAGAAGAGGCTCGCATCAGAAGAAGGAAAAAAAATTCCCAAACGAAGCGAAATAATTATCATTTAATAAGAGAGTAATAGTTTTTTTATTGTGTAAAGTGATTTTTTTTATTTATTTCATTTTATTCAAATAAAAAATAAATTGTGTTAACTCTCAAGTGGAAATAAATAGCCGGCTCGAGAGCTTATATACATACATATATTGAAAGGTAAAAAAAAATTGGGAGTCACACATTGTGGTGTATCATTAAATGAGTTTGAATTTGTTTGGTATGCACCGAATTGTTCAGGCTGAATGGTGTTTAGTGGACGTTTGGTTTGTCTCTTCGAAAATCAATTTTATGCAAATCAGATGGAAGGACACGAAGAAAAAATACACAACACGAGCGCGAACTACAGTGTTGAATAAAAAATTGTATTATAGTATATCAATGTGAAAATATGCTTTTAAAACGCCACAAACCACATATACATATCCTCGTATGCACACTCATACACATACACATTAACAATCGTCCATGCTTTGCACTCATACTACGGTGACGCACGTTGTGAAAATGTTGTATGTTTTTTTTCTGTGTGCCTATCATTTTTCCGAATGGTTTATGTCTCGCCATCGTAGCCGTCGTCTTCGTCCGCTCTTATGTGCATGTGTATTGAACGACAGCAAACAAAATTCCAATCATAAGCATCGACATTCAGTAGTAAAAATGGCGTCGCACAGATCGGACTTCTAACGCTGTTTATCTTTCAAAATCGCAAGCAACATATATACACATCAATCAAATAAAAACAATAACAAAAACTATAAATAAATGCAAACAAATTGCATTGATAAAAAAAGTTTGTGTTTGTGTGTCTGTATGAAATCGACTAATCGAAGGTAGCTAGCCCAGTTGACAAATTTCAAGCGAAAAAAAGAACTCAACAAAAATTTAGATTCATAGACAGATTTTTGCGTGCATTTTTTTTACATGGTGTGCTTTGAGTTAGAAATAAAAATAAATATTATTGTGAACATAATTACTTAGAAATACGCTCGCGTACTTGAAAGAATAGAGAGAAGAAGAAAAAAACAAACGATTGATTCGGAGCCGTTTGAAATGACATGCAAACCGCGATGTAAACCAACATATACATGCACATAAAATAATCGGTCATTTTCATTCGTTTGCATTAAGAATGGTAGGGATTTTTGTCGGTTGACATACGACACAGAACAAAATGTTAATATCGCATTTATGTCATGCAAAAAGTCAATCGGCTTCGGTCACAACCAGAACCAAGAACCATAGCACAAAAATATGCATATATTTAACATTTCACAAAGTATTGTATTTATTTTGCGACAAAAACGAAAGAATTAACGAGAAAAGAAAAAAAAAAAAAACAACATCGCGTTTGTGTTTTCGGTTCGTGTGATATTGATATTGAATTTGGCTCGTATTTTGCTTTCGTGGATGTCAGGATGGATTTGTTTGTATGCGAAAATAATGCAAATATGTATTGTGCGCTTTCCAACTATCTTCAACTACTGTAATGTATGCCATTAATGTGTGGATGTTTGTGGATGTCTGTTTGTGTACGTGCGTGTATCGACCGATGGACTCTACTATGCCAGTTCATTTCAAACACATGTGCGCCGTTCTCTACACTATTGCCACTCAATATATACTTTTTTACTCATTTTTTTTACAGTTCGCATTGGTTTATTGCTAATGCTGTGTTTATTTTAATGTTGATGTTGTTTCAACTTAAACTATGTTTTAGCATTGCTCAAAAGGTCTTCCGATATTCAATACTATCGCATAATCTTTTTGATTTTTATTTTTGGTAGATCGCATTCACAGTGTACATACACATTTATTTCAGTTTTTATTTTCTTCGTGAAATACACACACAGACAATAAACCATAACGCTATGATCTCAATTGAATTCGTAAATTTCAAAATATTTGCATAGAGGAAGCATGTTATGATGACATTATGAAAAGAAAAAAACATCAATTAAAGTGAATATCATTCATGTGAAAGTCATAATATATGAAGAAAAAAAAGAGTTGTCGTTTGTTTGGTAGATTTTTTTTCAAGTTCATTCTCTTCAAAGTGAAGCAAAAAACAAAAGAGTTTTTCGTTGAGACTGAATCGGTAGTAATTTCATATTCCCAACAAAACCTTTTTTTTTGTACTTTTTCTGTGAGAAAATGTATTTATATCCAATCATTTGAAAATGAATACAATGTATCGTCACTGTCATATACTAAAACTTATATCAAAGCTCAATCGCTTTGGATTATTTTTTTATGTCAATAATGCACGCGATCAGATGTTTTTTTAGCTTTTTTCATTGACGTAAAAAGGTATGATTGCATTTTGTATCGTTTGTCACACGCAAACAGTAATAAACAAAATGCATTCAATCAATTAAATTATGTTAGTTTATGTGTGCGAAAGAAATGTATTGACGTTTAGTTATTCGACTGTTTGCGTGAGTAAAATGTTGACCACCTTCAGGTCATAATTCGAAAATATGTATTATGTGTGCAAACATGAATTAAAATCGTACAGTTAATCGTTTTGCATTTAGATCAAAATTGGAAATAGGAAATTCAACGGCACTGGTCTTGAGATTTTTTTTAAAAATAGATAATCGCTTCGATCAATTGTGATTTGCAGCCAAGATTTTAATTTCAAATTTCATATTTTTGATTTCATTTCAGACGATCCGTTGATTGATTGGTGAGGTGGGCCAAGTCGAAGGATAGCTACTTCTTCTTTCGATATTCGGCGAGTGAAAAACACACTACACCGTTTTTCTACCCGTTTGAATTGACACTTGACATATCGAGTTGGAAGAAAAATTCAATTCGTGTTTTTATGTGTATTTGTATCGTTGCTTGTGTACGGGATTGACTATTGAATTTGAACTTCAAAATTTGAAGAAACGAACGTGAGTGGAAAAAAGAAGACACGCACATCATTTAAGGTTTATCGCCAAATCACTGTCGTATATTTTTGGATTTTTGCTAAAAAGGATATGCCAATGTTTTCGCAATTCCCAATGAACCTATCGATAAATGGATTCATCGTACTCGTATCAAAAGTCTGGACATGTTTATGTTTCATATTTAACCGACAGGTTCGGGCTGTAAGTATTTAGAACAAAAAAAAACATGCCATCAAAATGGAAAAAAAATAATTAATACATTTAGTTTGTTCAGTATCAGCCGGTGAAATATGACTTGTTCCCGTTGTCGCCGGTGTCGCGGCATCGCCTCAGCATGGTTCATCGAAAGACGTTGGTATTAGATTTGGACGAGACACTGATTCATTCACATCATGACGCAATGCCGAGGAATACGGTCAAACCAGGTAAAATACATTTTTAATTAGCACTAACCAAGTTTAATTATTTCCAAATTAAAGCAATTTTTTTCTCTCGAAAAAAAGCATATTTTTCTACTTTCTTTAATTTAAAATTTGTTTGTTTTACCGTATCCAGGCACACCGCACGATTTTACTGTTAAGGTCACAATCGATCGACATCCGGTGCGATTCTTTGTACATAAACGGCCACATGTCGACTTCTTTTTGGATGTTGTAAGTGTCAGAAATCAGAGTATATATATACAAAAAAACCAAACCAGTTTTACTCGAAATTCATTCACATTTGAGCGCAGACATATTATATGAGCAAACGCCTTGGCCTTTTCTCGTGTCTTCCGTTTTTCTCTTTACTTTGAACGAATTCGAAAATGAAACAACAAAACGAGCTAACGAAACATCAAACGAAAACTTCAAATTCGCAAGCAGAAATTCGCACAAAAAAACATTTATAGCAACAGCTAAAAATAGGAAACTGTGTGAATGCGTTCTCCTTCTATCTATCTCTCTCACGCGCGCACACAAATACATAGATAAAGAAAGCATATTCATGCAATATATATATGTTCAACAAAATGTTTTTTCTATACATGATGTTCAGTGATTAATGGCACAATATGTACTTACTCACTGTATAACAATCAGATATATATATTAATGATATGTGCGTCAGCCATCAGTAAATTGCAACCGCCAAAAAATCTGTCAAGTATTAGAATGTTCATTTGCCAAAATCGAATGAAATGAAGTCGTTATAGACAATAGATGGATGTCTAACAATAACGCTGTTTGCTTGGCAATAATGAGAGTGTTCTATTTCGGTGACATTTAACTCAAATTTTGTGTGATTTTTCATTCCATTTTCACCCGTATCTTCTTCAAAATTGCTAACGTTTGTTTTTCTCTCATTTAATTGTCTTTTTTTATTGTTCTTGCCATTTTAGGTATCACAATGGTACGATTTAGTCGTATTTACGGCCAGCATGGAGATTTATGGTGCTGCCGTTGCTGATAAATTAGATAATGGTAGAAATATTTTACGTCGACGATACTATCGTCAACACTGCACTCCGGATTTTGGTTCATACACAAAAGACTTAACAGCGATATGCAATGATTTAAATAGGGTAATTTTTAAATTTTTTCCAAATGCTTTCACAAACCCATTTCTAAAGCGATTATTCTTCTTTTTTGCCCAATTTCTATTTAGATATTTATTATAGATAATTCTCCCGGTGCATATCGATGTTTTCCAAATAATGCAATACCAATAAAATCCTGGTTTTCGGATCCAATGGATATTTGCCTGTTATCGCTATTACCACTGTTAGATGCGCTACGATTTACAAATGATGTACGCTCAGTTTTGTCAAGAAATTTACATTTGCATCGATTGTGGTAGTTAAGAGTTGATCGTGAACATTTGAGTTTGCAAAAAATGAGCAAATTTAGCGGTATTTAATGACACAAAAAAAAACAAAGCAAAAAAAAACTATTTTTTTGTTGAACATGATCCGAAATGTACTCAGACACAAAAATAAAAATACAATTTCAATATGTTAGCAAAAACCAAGAGAAAATAGCTAAGGAAACAAACACCAACAACCACAAAATGAAATGACAAAAAAAGACGAAATAAAAATAAAAATTTCAAAAGATAAAAAGAAAGCTGAAACAAATGAGAGAAAGGAACAAACTATGGAACCAGTTTGTATGAATGTTTGTGTACGTTATGTGTGTATCCGTATTCAGTTTAGAGGCTGTGTGCGAATAAAAGGAGAAAAAAGAAACTACTATACAGTCATTGTATTTATTAATTTTTTTTTTAAATTGTTTTAATATTTTATTAATTAATTTAAAGAATCGGCGAATTTGTTTGCTGCCACTCCCGTTTCGATGAACCATCGTCTTTATTTTTTTTTATTTGATCCAAATAATAATTTAGCCACGGATATTTTAACATCATTCAAATGAATGATTGATCTTGCCGAGAACGGTTCAATTCAAGCGGCTTGATTTATGTATGTTTAGATATTTTGTTCTTTCATTTGTTGGGAGTCAGGAGATAATTTTTTGAATTATATTTTTTTGTCGTATTAAAGATAAAAATGTTTGCTATGTATTTGTTTTCTGCCCAACGAATTGAATTGACGATGGCACAAACGAGCATTAGAAATTAGGATTGAAGGAAGAAGAAAAAACTATCAAAAATTGAAAAATGGGATACAAATTATTACGAATAGAAACAACCAATTAATTAAAATTGAAAAGAGAAAAAAGGAATAAAATTTAAAAATAAAAACAAATATCAATTTACATGGGTTTTAAATTTTTACATTTCAGGTGAATCCCCTTTCTGATTCTGCAGACCTTTTTGAATTTAAATTTGTATCGCTGTGAATAAAAGCGAATTTTTCTCTCGTAAGAAATTTTTAGCAAGGAAAGACGTTAGTGAAGCAAGGGTAGATTGCTTACTTTTTTATATTAAACGCTCTGTTATCATTTTTAGTTCATTTTTATTTATTGTAAAAACAAGAAAAAAACCAAGAAATATATAGAAAAATGCCCACATCAACAAAATCTTTACCAAAAAAAGAACTAATTATAAAAAGCCCAAGTTTCAATATAAAAGAATTTACTAAATATAGTATTGGAGTCGTGATCGGAAGGAATGCGGATATTTTCACGGGATTAAGGTTTTCTGATTATTAATCTTGAGAATTTGTGAAAAAAACAATTAGATCATTTTTATTTATTCAAAAATGCGTTGAGATTTTCTATTTATCTGTTTAACAGAACAGCCACTATAATTGGAATGATGAGCTGCAATAGCTTCATTTAAGATCTAAAAGAGAAGAAAACAGAGCAAAAAAAAAATTGTTGATGATAATGATGCACAAACATCAAAACGGCATCGTTGCATTCTTTTTTTTTATTTTACAATGATAATTACAATAATTCAAGACTGCTGTCGCTATGTTTGGTAACCACTTCGGTTTCACTTGATCCAGCCGATCCATTGTCACCCGATCCATCGGCCGAACCATTGTCATCATTCTTATCGCTATCAGTGTGTTGGCTGGTCTCACCGACGCCAATTGTTCGTTGCGATTGTAGTTGCCATGCTGGGATTGATGGTGGCACAACCGGACTTGCGAATTGTTTTCTGTGTGGCAAAACGATATTCAGTTTGTAAATAATAAATAAAATAGATAATGAATGTTGTGTGGTTTATGAGCTATTTACAAATTACAAACCTATTCAATAGTAAGCCTTTGATTGCATCCAAATCATTTTTGAATGAGAGCATATCTTGTCGTAGCACATGATCGCCGTTGTACGATGATCGAATTTCATCTTTCAATGCGGTCACATCAACGTTAAGCTTACGAATGTTTTTATCAATTTTTTTATCTAATTCGTTTATTAAATCATCGGTTGATTTTTCATCTTTCTTTTTACCAAACAGAAATGGCGCAATAAAATTCTTGTACACATAATAAATGGCATAAACAATGCCCGTAACCATGGCAGTCGAGCTAATTACATTGTAAAATTTCTGAAGTGCTGTCTCTGGTGAACGATACAATGGTGCTAGTGTTGTTGTTGGTGGTTGCGGTGGTGAACGATGATGACCAATTTCCATATTAATAATGGTACTATTTGGATCTTTGGTAAAAATGCCAGCCTGTTGAAATGCCAATTGAATCTCTTCATCGCTCAAACCTTTCGAGCGTAAGAATTTCTCCTTTTGCATTAGCGAGCTTCGCGAAACATTTGGATTTTGTAAAAATGACACAGCCGTACTAATCTGTTTTTATTTAAGCCAAATGAAAACAAAAAAAATGAGTGTTATCAAGCGACATAGTTTTTACAACGGTAATAAATTAATTTCAATAATGTTCACACAAAATGGATTACCATTGAAATTCGCGGTGGATTATGCGCAACTGTTGAATTTGCATTAATTGAACCTGTGTCACCTGTGTCTGTATTATTGGATGAATCCATGTTTACATTCACGTTTAAAAAAATTTTGAAAATTATCCTTTATGCCGTTTTCTGTGTAATTTGATTTTTGTTTCTTCACAAAAACGTTTTTTCCCTTTCTATTTTTTTTTACTTTGTCGTCTCTCAGTCACAATGATCGATGGACGACAAAGATTTAATGTTACACACAATCAAATAATCTAGCACTAAGTTAGTTTTTCTCGTTGTTTTTTACGTTCGTAGTATAACAATCGAAAAAAATATAACAAAACAACCAACTTAATATATGAATTAAGTCTATGAATTGTTATCTTCTGCCTTTGAATTTTGATTCGTCGTATTTATAATACAAATACATTTATTGAAGGAAAAAAAAATTATTATTATTATCATAAACAGTGTGCAAATGTGACATTTGGTCACAGTCGACACGGTGAGCAACTTCAAGCGAATCAAGACATGGAAATGTCAAAACAAAAAAATCTGCGTTTTTTTTATTTCGAACATAACCTTATTCGGACCAAAACACAGTATTGGAAACCATTTTATTACCGGTTGAAATATGCAGCGGTACTTATTAAATGCTGCATACATTGGAACAAAATACAAGTAAGACCATGCAATAACCTCCATATGGGAGATGCTATTTCACTCAAACCATTTGCTCTTTGGACAGTGGAGTATCGAAAAATGTTAATCAAAAGAACTCCCGTTCGATTGAAGATGCTCTTAGCGAAGTACTGGCCAAACTCACCAAAAGGAACGATACTTTAATACACACATCAAGCAGGTGACAATTCGTTAAAGGATAATTTAAAAAAATCACTAACTTCTTGAATAATAAAACATATATTTAGGACTGATGCTGGTGTTCATGCCACCAATACCACATTTGCGATCGATGTGAATAAGAATTTGCCATCCTGGGCGATAACAAAAAGATTGAATACCACTTTTAATACGTGGCATGATCAAATACGAATATTAAAAACGACCCCAATAACCAATGAGTTCGATGTGCGTCGAGATGTACTAAGTCGATCATATTTGTATCGGTTTGCTGTTTGCAAGGAGCCGATTCCAAAAGGAGTGAATTCACAAATCTACAAATGTTCAATGTTCATTCCAATTGAAGAGAGTTTTCGTTGTTATTTTGCGCTGTAAGTATTGAATAAAGACACAACCATCATTTGTTTATCAAATGGAATTTTCATTACAGAAATCAAGACTTTCACATTGAACGTGTGATAGAGGCGGCTAAACAATTAGAAGGTTATCACGATTTTCGATCGTTTATGCATGTTTCCAAAAAGCAAAAAACGGTAATTTCAAATTATTTGGACTTTAATGTGATCAATAATTAAAAACAAATTTAATGTCCACAGTTTCATCCAAGGTTTTGTGTTCGAAGAATGGATAGTATAGAAGTTCGACCAGGTAATACACTGGCCACATCGGTTAATTATGAAAAAACAATGGCCAATTTTGACTTTTGGAATATTGAATTCAAATCGAGAGCGTACTTTTATCGACAAATACGAAACATGGTCGGCGTTTTAATTGCAGCTGGAAATGGTAAACTAACATCTAGAGATATTTATGAAATGATTACCATTCCATCAAAAAACACGCATAAACTACCAGTGCCGAGCCATGGACTTTATTTATCAAATGTGGAATATTCAGCCGAACACCTTGCCAATTGCACTCGAACCGAGAAAAATTTATCGGAAAATGAAATGATTTCAAACAATGAAGATGTAGAATTGCGACAGAGCTTAGCATAAAGAAAACTGTAAATTATTATATTCAAAATATAAGATGCCACTAGTGACATCATGTGAATTAAGGTTAAAACACAACAAATACATTGAAAAGTAGAACAGATGTTAATGTCAAAATATGAAGAATACATTTGAGATTTTTAGATGTTGTCAAGACAATTCTTTCTGAAGTTAAGTTTAAAAACGGCGTTTTATTAAAAAAATGAGCTTCCTTGATCAGTTAAAAGCTAAAAAAAAGTGCTTAAAATCAACCGTAACAAATATTACACATGCCGACGGATCTCAAAAGCAAATATTGTTAACAAAGACCGGAGACGAAGTATTAGAAACTTCAAGAGTACAACTTAAATCAAAAACGTATGGATTTATAGTGGATACAAAGCCAGATTTTGTGCCTGCATGCATTTCGGATGATTTTCTGTATTTAGGCTCACAAGATGCGGTTACACAAGAAAATGTTCAAAAATATAAATTCACCGATATTTTGAGCATTGGAATTGAAACACCGCCATCAGATATTGACTCAAATGCAATTCGTACTCATTATGTGGCATGTCTTGATTTGCCAGAGACATGTTTGGAAGCAATCGTTAGACAATCGAATCAAATTATATGCGACGTTCATGAACGAACGGGACGAATTTTAATTCATTGTAATGCAGGTGTGAGTCGTTCTTCAACAATTTGCATAGCATATTTAATATTGGAACATAAAATGAGTTTCGATGTAGCATTTGCATTAGTGAAATCAAAACGAGAATGTATTCGACCAAACGATGGATTTTTGAAGCAACTCAAACAAATGGATCACAGCAATGGTGTTTAAGTGTTACATATCAGAAACAGTGCGAGTGAACTGTCAATGTCAGAATTGGACGAAATGAGCTATTTGCATGGATTGAATAAACTGTTAAATCGTTGCTTGTAAGAGAAAAATTAAAAAAGAGAAACATTCAAATGTGGACAAGGAAAAAACATCCAGAAAGAAAAGACAAACAAAAATTCAATTGTATATAATGAATCGATACTTGATATATATTTCGTACATTGGTACACATTTCAAGTAAGTTAACCTAAAAATTCGAGAGTGAATTTTGATTCAAACAATTTTGATCAAAAACAAAACTCTTCAGTAAATTCAATTTAATGATTTCATACAGAGCATTCACGAAGACGAAAGCTAACGGTGAAATAATTACTCCAACAACAATTGGCGTACTTGAAGATGCCATGCAGAGGTTGAGAACAAAGAATCCAATAAATGTCAGAACCATAAGTAGGTAGGTTAATTCACTTATTTATTCGAAATTTGATCGCTACTTAGATCTTGTGAATGTTTAAATAAAAGGTGTTTTCATTTATTTGAATTTTTTCAGAACTGATGCTGGTGTTCATGCGATTAACTCGGCCGTTTTTGTTGATTTGGAACGATCAAATAGTGAGCCGTACGATTGTAACTATATAACTTCAAAATTAAATCAGGCGCTTGAGGAAACACCACATCAAATTAGAGTAAATGGAGCCCAAAGGGTGCCGAACACATTCAATCAGCACATTAATGGTGTTAAATCACGAACATATTTATATCGATTAGGAGTCATAAAAAAGAACAGAAATATCGACTACACCATCGACGAGAAATATCGCTGTTATTTTATGCATTCGTATGTATGACTTTTTTTTTTATCATGTTATCGAGTTGTGTAAACATAATTTCTTAAGCACTTTTATTTTTTGTTCATTATTAGAGATGAATTTGACATTGATCGTTTTAAGCAAGCAGCACAAATGATTCAAGGCATGCATGACTTTCGCACCTTCATGACCATTAACAATGATGCACATGTAAGTCTCATTGTAAGTCTCAAAATTAATTTTGACATTGGAATTTCACTTTGATGAAAATAACTTTTGGTCGAATAAAATTTAAAGACACGAATATTTTTTTAAATTTCAGCTTAGAGCTTCATTTGCAGTTCGGAAAATGAATTATGTAAAAGTCGAAAGAGCTCAAGCATTAACAGTAAAACCAATTGAACACGAGGAAAATGTTGATTATTGGAACTTAACTTTCAATGCACAATCATTTCTCTATCGGCAAATAAGGAGAATAGTTGGAACACTAGTGACATTCGCCCAAGGGAACATTTCACAACGGGATTTATACGAGATGCTGACAATTCCGTCACAAAATTCATTCAAAAGAAAGATAACTGTTGCTCCAGCACATGGACTTTACTTGGCAAATATTGAATTTCGTGAGAGGTGTTTGACTGAAGAAATTTATGAAAATCATCATTGTATGAAAAAATGTCAATAAAATATTAAAAAAATGGAAATTTTGAAAACAATGATCACATCTTCTTAAAAATGTTATGGGCTTCAATTGGAAGCTTATGATGATATTACATATTCATAAAAGGTAAGAAAATTTCACATTGGCCCAAAAAACTTTTTTTAATGTAGAAAATTTATAATTTTCCATATGATCTGAATACGGATGGTCCAATAAACCAATCTGAATTAATTATAGATTCGTTTATCAGTGAAATGCGGAGCCCGATCATG